CAGGCCTGTACGAGAGCTGGATTAAAGCAAGTCAGATGAGGGAACAGTGGAAATCCCTCCCAGAGTAGCTCACAGGCAGCTTGAACTCTGATTAACTCAGGTGTTTTGAGGTCTTTGGATGTGGTCTCACGTATTGTGGATGACATAGTCTATGAGAACAGCTCCAACAGTGTGAACTTCTTATGCACGAGGCTTTGGGTTTGGTTCCCAGAATGCCAAGAGAGAAATTAAGACCTTGAAATGTGTTTTTAGTGAAAGGTAATGCTATGCAGGTGTAATGACAGCATCGCATAGTAATTGATCACTTGATTTTATATACAAACTCTTTACCAGTCCTAATACAAACTGCAGTGTGAAGGAAGGAGCCTGTGGCTGTTATAAGGAGTCTAGCAATGGCCCAGAGCTCTTCTGATGGACAGGGTCTGATCTGTAACATCTTGAAATTCACCATAAAAAAACCTTAATTTGTGCCAACTACACACTAATAATTTCTTATTCTGCAAATGAACATGACCTACATAATGGTCTTGTTAGAAGAGCTAATTATTTCGAGAATAATCAGAAATGGTTAAGATTTTTTTTTAAGTCTGGGAAGGAAATTCATACCCAAGTTTTAATGAAATAGCACAATAAAAGTAGAAAGGGCATAGAAAATAATCATGGTCATCTCTGCTGAGGTGTGGGACTTTGTTATTAATATTTAAAAATTTATATTTCCCTTTAAGTCTATGATAAAAACAAAATTTCCTCACCAGAATAATAATCAGAAAATTTGATACAAAACATCTAAGTATTTCTGACGTTCTGAGGCTTTCCCATGGCTTTTCTGACTACCCATATAGCTTAGATCAGAAAACCTAAATCAAAATATTACAAGACCAAGTGTATCAAAGACCTAAGAAATACACCTGGTGCAAAAAAAAAAAAAAAAAAAAACTTTGTAAATGCTTAAACCTTTATAAATAAATGGAATTATTTTCATTTTGATATAGTCAAGTTAGTTGTCCCTTCCTATTAGGGTTATATGGGTTTAAATTCATTTTACTTGATGGAAAATCATTCTCTATATGTTTAACAGAGGTAAGATAAAAAATGAAGCATTTTTCAAGTGATATTAGAAAGACTACATGGCTTATCATAACTTTCTAACATGTAGAGGAGTGACTTAGCCCCTAGAATTTCACATTTTGATGCTTTTTATGATAGAAAATTGACCTGTACCATATTTAAGCCCTATCATAATAAAGTTTTGCATTTTCAGATAACTCATTTAAATCTAATACATGAGGACAACATTTTTGCAAACTTAGAATGGGTCTGAGTTTTCCCAGAGTAATTAACATGTTTTCAGGAAGTTGAGCTTCAGCTAGATGTGGTAGAATTGCTAAATGGCTGAATTTGCAAAAGTGGGCGATAATTAAATCATTACGCTCAGCTCTTATTAAATATTAATGAATTCTCCATGACTTTGAATCAGAGAGCTTTTTTACATGGGAACTTCTGACGGATTTGTCTGAACAATGAGTCATTTGCCCTGTGGTAGTCTTCCTCGGCTCCATGGTACTCATAGGCACAGTACCAAAGAATTTAACTCTGGTTTGCTGTGTCATACTTGGCTTTTACCTAAAAATTTTCAAAGGAGCTTTCGATATTGATACCACTATATTTTGGCCTAAAGGAGCAAAAGGTTTCTCTAAAGAAAAAAAACTTGACATAAAAAAAAAAAAAAAAAAAAAGCACGCCACACAGCCCAGACTCTAGGCATCTGAAGCCACTCACTAGGGTGGTGGCTTTGGATCCGGTTGCACACATGCCAGGATTCCAGTTCAGAAACCCATCTGGTCAACAGAAGCTGCTTAGTGTAGTCCCCTCCATCTCTCCTCTTGTTTGTTTTTGTAACAAATGTTAGGCACCAGAGAGAGACAAACATGGGTAAGATGGCTTTCTCCTTTCCCATCTGGTTCTCTGCCGGAGACCAAAAGTCGTTTGGTAATGTTCTGAAGGCTGAGGAGCCCACTATCCCGTTTTGCCATCACCAACCAACCTTCTGTACACAAAGTTTTCCACCAGTAGCCCATGAGGTAGTGATAGGCTGTAAGAAATAAAACACACTCCTTCTTCTCAAACCCTGTGATTAACACTATATTTGTGAGACAATAGTTTTATGCTTTATTTTGGAGGGCTATAATGTAACAAATACAAGGCATAGATTCAAAGTACATGACAATGCTGAAATTAATAATAAGAAACCACAATCCTTGATATCCAAATAAATTCCACTATTCTGATAGGGAAAAGGAGATGGATTTGGAGATTAAAATACATTTCTTCTAGAAATAACCAGAAAATAGGTAGATAGGACACACCACCCCAGGCCAGATATTTTTTTTTTTAAAAAAGCAGAAAGATAGATGGACAGGAAAGACAGATGAATGAAAGAAAAGAAAGGAAGGAATCATGAAAAGGAGGGAAGGAGGAAGGAGATGAGAAGAGAAGAAAAGGGGCTGGGTATGTTTCTGTCATATAGTTCTTAGCAATACATCTGTAAGAGTCAAATGGATTTCAGGCCAATTTACATTATCATTATATCTCCATTCATATTCAAGGACATCTCCAATGTAACTCCATTCACACCCAATTACAGCATCATTGAAACTCCATTCACACCCAAGGACATCACTATTGTAACTCTATTCACACCTAATTACATCATCATTGTAACTCCATTCACACCCAAGCTCGGCACTATTGTAACCCCATTCACACCCAAAGAGCACTATTGCGACTCCATTCATACCCAAGGATGATGTGGGAGTGTCATATATCAATCTGTTGATTTCATTGGTTAAGTAATAAACACACTGCTTGGCCTCATAGGATAAAGCATTGGTGGGAGGAGTAAACAGAATAGAATTCTGGGCAGAAGAGGAAGTGAGGTCAGACTCTGCTCTGCTTCCAGAGGGCTAGAGCAGGGATACCATACTCCACTCTCCCAGGATGGACGGAGGCTAGAATCTTCCCGGTAAGCGCACCTTGGGGTGCTTACACACATCATTAGAAATGGGCTAGTCCAGGTGCGAGAATTAGCCTGTAAGGGCTAGAGTTCATGGGCCAAGCAGTTCTTAAATGAATACAGTTTGTGTGTTGTTATTTCGGGAATGAGCTAGCTAAGCGGCCAGTGTGTTGGGGACACAGCCCCGCCGCCGCTTTTATTTCAACACAAGGACATCACCAGTGTAACTACATTCACACACAAGGACAGCACCATTGTAGCTCCATTCACACCCAATGACAGCATCATTGTAACTCAATTCACACCCAAGGACAGACAGCACCATTATAACTCCAATTACAGCCAACGAAATCATTATTATAATTCTATTCACACTAAAGGACATCATCATTGTAAGTCCAAATATAACACCTTTATCATCTAATAACCTCATGGCAAGAGAGCATGGCTGGAGAGAGGCTAAAAGGAAGAAACCAGGAAAGGGATGGAGGAATAGAGAAAAATCTAAATTAGCACATGGCATGTAATTATTCACATTCTTTTGCATGCAGATATCTGCCCTTTCAGACAGAAACTGAGACACCCTGAGGAAATTGCAGCAGAGGAGAAGGCTAGGACTCCCTTCCAGGCCTGTAAATAACGGACAATAGGGAGACCATGTGGAGGCCTGTGTTATGGTATAGGTTGCTGTTTGCCAATGAGGTTATATTTTCAATTTCAGGAGGATAGGTGAAACCACAGGTACAGAATATTGTGAGCCACCCCTATTCCTATATCTACAGAACAACTATAGAACTGATTTTAACATTAGAGATTAACAAAACAAAGCCAAGCACATCCTCATGAGTGAAGAATTTCCATAGGAAGTGTTTCTGCATCTGAAAAGATGGCCCAGTGGTTAAGAACATGCTCTATATTGAAAAGACCTGAATTTAGTTCCCACCACCCAAGTTTGTTTGGGGGCTGAGAACTGTCTCTCAATCCAAGGGCTCATCTGACACACTCGGGCATGGCACTTAGATCCATAAGCCATACTAAGAAGCACACAAATGTGCGTAATTAAAAATAAAATGAATAAATAGAAGCATATTTCTGAATGTAGACATCTGCTAGTGGCTTAATAAACATCACTATATATTGATAGGTTATAAATTCTTTTCTAAATTCTTTTTCATAAATTTTTACCTCCATTTTTGTAAGGAATTCAGAAAAGTAGAGAGAGCCATGTATTTGTGTATGTTGCTTTTATTAAGCAGAGATTTTGATTCATTTCTGTCAAATATTCTATTTTTCCTTCTACTTTCATTTCCAAAGTATTTTCAAGCAAAGTCTAGATCTCCTCAGTTATGCTACTGTAAAATTGCACTTTAATACCCAGTACTAATGCCTGTATCACTCTAAATCAAATGGGTTTTGCTACTAATCCTCTCATTACCCACAAGTTAATGTTTAAGATTGTTGCATTGTTTCAAATAAGTATCCAAATAGTATGCCCCGGTTCCATCTTGTCATTGTGTCATGAGCAGTTCTGGCCTTTAAGTTCATCATCCTGTTCCTTCCCTGTGCCAATGACATATTGCCTGCTCCTTGAATCTCATGACTGATAGTGGCTGTTTTTCCCATTAGCCACAGTGAATGCAAGATACAGTCACATTTACAAGTCTGGAATTACATTATTTTGCAGCACTGTTATTCTTAGTCTTTAATATTATTCTTATTTTAGAGATGCAAAGAGCTTAGTTGGTTTTCCTGGGATGACACAGTAAACCATGGGAATCTGGCCACTGAATTGAGTCCAGCAAGTCTGTGTCTGTCATACCGTATCTCCAACAGTTTGATGAGCGCCACCTTCCTGTGATGGACGGGGTAGATAGAATGAGCTTGAAACTTTCTGTACCACATCTCTCATGTGACTGCCATGTGTTTGTGCAATACGTAGACACACTCAGGGGTAACCTTGTGTGTGGCTCTCTTTTATTATACACAGGTCATCAGAAGCCTCGGTCCCTTGGAACTGGTCCTTAACACTCCCAGCCATCACAGGGTTCATCATGGTAAGATAGTTTTGTGGTTTTGCCTTTCTCGTTTCGTTAAAAACTGCAATGTCGTTTCTGTGCCACTTTAGCAGATACAGACCTTGCACTATTATGTGCTGGATAAATAACTGTTGTTTCCCCTTTCCTCTTCAGAGAAGCCGGAGCTTCAAAGTTGAGAAGTGACCTCTCTCAATAGCTTCCCATCTCATCTCCTTGTGGCTGGGAAGTGAGCCAAGCAGCTAGATAGGAATGGTCACATCTTGAAAGAGTCCTCTGTAGGATACTCTGTTGCAGTGATGGGGAGCTGCCCTGTCTACACAAGAATTGTTAGTCTTTAAAAATGTTGGATTTGAAAGAAGCTTTTATATTTGAAATATGTGTACTACAGGAAATAAAACATAAGCCAATCATAAAATAAAAAAAAAAAAACAGAAAAACAAAAACATGCTTGTTTTAAAATCCTAAAAAATGCATAAGGGGATTTGAAAAAACCTGATAACTAATGCTTTACTCTGCTAAATTTACTACCTAACTTAGCACATGCGCAATGACCCGATGAAAAGACTCCATGCAGCTGGTGCCTAAGGCAGAGACACCAAGTTTAGGGAAAATCACAACGTGTTTTATTTTGACACCACAGGAACCATTAAGAATGTGCGTTATTTGTGACTGGAAAATGAATGTAAACTTGGAGTGTGTGTGAACTGTAGTGTAGAAGAATACATAGTAGATTCTTCATGTTTGGAGACGGCGTAGCGGTGAGATTGTCTCAGTCACCTCTGCGTACACTGGCAGGAATAAATCTTAACCGCATAACGCCGAAGGCACAAGACAAAAAATGAACGCCGTGCTTTTGCTGGTCTGAACCTCTGCCTTCACAGGCAGTTTTGGAACAGGACAGGGTAGCCTTCTCGAAGGGAACTTGTCCTTTTCTCCCGCTCCTGGACCACAACAACAGCACATGAGAGGTTGTGTCTAGTGCATCCAAACTCAGCCCTCTCCTGTCCCCAGGGAGCAGTTAGCAGGGGAGTGTAAGATTCTTGTGGATTCCTGCGCATAAACAGAAAAATCTGGAAAGGGGAGTCCACACTGAAAAATAAACAGCTTCATTTCTTCTTCTTTACCTCCTTTTCCCCATTCCCCAGACCGCGGGCAGACCTAGTCAGCATGAGCAGAGTCCTGTCCTTTGGGACCAAGACAGTGGTGAAAGCTGTCCGGGCACCGTAGGGTGCTTAGCAGAGTCTCTGACTGAAGCCTGCTTGTTGTACCCTCCTCTTACTGTGATGATGCCCACTCCCGTCTTCAGACATTGCCTCAATCCCTTCAGGGGCAAAGCACTCTCACAATTGGTGGAGAACCAGGGTTAGATCATGTGTAAACTCTCTGCCCTGTTCTCACCTGTGCGTGCACAGAAAGTGTGTCCACGGATGCATATACACGGTTTATTAGACTAAAACTCTTTTCCTTTGGCTTTAGGAACATTTATGCAATTATGCCTATCTAAGTTTCAAAACATGTAAAATAAAAATTGTTGCCAGTTCCTTGCATTAAGTTTAAATTGTAATTTTTATGTTTTGGAGCTGGAAAATTAACATAATACTAAAAGTACTAATTCCAAGAGTAATTTAATTTTTAATTATGCCTTTTATTATTAAAATAGTGTAATATTGTTCTAATTTTATTTCTGAAACATCAGCAGAGAGCAAGACTAAAAATAGCATCAAAACCAAACTAAAAGCAAACACATACATTTCCTTTTAAAAACTTTATTTTTATTGTTATGATTTGTGTATGGGGGTGTTTTGCCCACATGTACACCTGTATACCACATACATGTAGTCCCCTTGGAGGACAGGAGAGGGTGTCAGATGCCTGGGAACTGCATTTGTAGCTGGCTATGAGCCACCATGGGTGTTTGGTATTGAACCTTGTTCCTCTCTGTAAGACCAACCAGTACTTTTAACAGCTACACCATTGCTCAAACCCCAAATACATCTATTTCCATCTTACTACCTTTTACTTTCTTCCAAACAATGTGATTTTCGATTATTCATTAGTTTTATAAAATCAGCTATGTGACTATATCTTGACATTTAACTAAAACATTGGAAAAATGTGCATAAATTAATAAAACCTTTATCCCTTTAATAAATTTAACATTAAAATAGTTAAAATGAGACTATGAATAGAATCTAAGTTTGTTTTTTAATTTTTGAGATTATAAATATAACATTTTACCCTTCCCTCCAAACCCTTCCATATGCTCCCCCCCCCTCGCCTTCAGATTCACAGGCTCCTTTTTTTTTGCTAATTATTATTGCTTCTATATATTTTTGATATATGATGTATAATGTATATTGTAAGTTTGACGAAGAGACCTAGTTAAGGAAGACACCTGGTCAGTCATCCTCATCAGCTTAGACTATGAAACCCAACATGGACAAGTTCCACAGAACTGCTATATATGGGCTGCCCATGTGTGCTCCAGCATTGTCAGGGCACAAATCACAAATTTTTATATTATAAGTGCCTGTGCTGACTTATTGGGCCAAGGTCGCCTAAGAGGTCACATCTGAGACTGTGACAATTTCATTGAGAGCAATTAGATCCTTTATCAGAAATGGAATATAATTGCAATGGCCAGGACCAATACAGTTGTAGTTGCCAGGATAAAGAGAAGTTTGCAAGCTATACCTGGTAGACAAAGATGGATGTCTAAGACTAAGTGCCCTGTCAAGTTTCCATGCTTCCTTGACTACTAAGGAATCATACAGAGAAAGTCAAAGCAGCCTGCCTGCCTCACTGAATAAGTGGGTGTTTTGGTTTCGCAGGAAGTTGAAGTCACATTGTGCCCCAGGAGTCACGGACTCTAACCTAAGAAATCTATGTCATATGTCTGCCAAGGCAGCTTGGCCAGGGCAGCTATGTGGTTCTCTGAAATATGTGATGTATGTGTATTCATATTCTTAAAAACAACCTTCTCGGTCTGTAATATGCTACTTGTATGTATGTTTTCAAGGTAGACTATTTGGTACTGAACAACTAATTGTTGTCTTCTCTAGGAACTCCCAATTCTCCCCAATTGCTTCTGGTTATTTGTTTAAAGTTGGGGAGAAAGCATATTTAGAGCCATTTCATTGCCTGAATTTTTCTTGCATGCTTTAAAAACAAGAGAAAAAATATTTCAAAAGCTCACTTCCATGTATTTGAAAAACTGTTTTTAATATTTTGTCTCACAGGCAGAAATCGTTACTGCATAGACAAAAACTATGCCGGCACTCTTATTATTTGGGATAAAATGTTTGGTAAGTAAAATGTACAACTACCAAAAGAGTTAAATTAGCTGCTTTGGGATTTGTAGAAAATCAATAATCATATTGTAATGTTTATCTTCCAGGGACATTTGAAGCTGAGAATGAACAGGTTATATATGGTCTAACGCATCCCATTGATACATTTGAACCATTCAAAGTTCAGGTAATTCATCCAGCATTGTCCTTCCTGAATGCACACAATTTCACAAGTTTTGTGTTTAAAAGGAAAACAGTTATTGTAGGTGGAAGCACATTACATTGCCGTGAAAAAATGTTTTACATATAAAAGAATTTGAAATAGCTTTAGCAGTTAAGTGATGTAAGTCAGATGGGCAAAATCCGTTAAAACTCATTATAAGAGTTTTCAAATGTGTCTTCTACCTCAAATGCAAAAAGAGTGGCTTTTAAAAAAAAACATGTGTTTTTTTTCTTTCTCAGAATAGACCTTAAATATATATTCATGTATTCAGGAGCAGTGGTGCAACATGTAATTAAGGCTGATCCCACAGTAAGAAAAATATTTGCTTCAAGTTTTCAGCCTCTGGTTAGAAATTCAACATGAGGCCTTTGCCGTCTCGTCTTAGAGCTGGGTGTCAAGGGGTATTATCCATCAGTGAGGTCCACGTTACCTCTCCCGCTAGGATTTGGTGGAGCCGACCAATTTTCCATCAGACATGTGGTATTGCTTGTTCACTGGCCTTAGTGGTTGGCACTAGAGAAATGAAGAATGTCTGCTGAGTTCCGATGTGTCAATATCAGATGACCACAAAGGCTCCTGGGGTTAAGGAATCACAAATGAGGAAAAGATAAGAATGCTCTAAATGCTGTGGCTGTCATTCAATGACGGGTCTGGATACAAGGCTGCTTGCCATGTCCTGGAAGTAACAAAATCAAAGGCTCCTCTTGGGCTTGCTTTGCAAACCTACTCAAGTTTTCAGAGAACATTGAGACAAAAGAATTATCTACAGCTGTTAAATAATTCCAGATTCAATTGTCAGCTACAAATTTTCCCTAGGAATCTGAGACTCAGGTTTACTTAACTCATTTTAACCTACTTAGTTGACTGTGGCTTCATACACCAGTTAGGTCCGAATGCCATCCTTTCTGTAGTGAAAATGATTACTCTATATCCACAGCTGGAAAGAAAATTGCTGATGTGTGTATACATATGTAAACATACATGTGTACGGGCACATATTTTCCCCTACATGGCACTTCGACTTCCATCTTTACCCTAGGCTGTACTCACAACAAGATGTGTCTCTCAGGAGACACATAATAAATATGTTCAAATCTTTACAACCAATTTAAGAAATACACATGAAAGACCCACTCCCTTAACTTCGGGTAGATTTTTCTCCTTAACATGAATAAAGAAAGAGACATGGACAAATCCACCTCCATCTCTAGGATGGAGCTTTACAAGCCTGGTGCCAATGCGATTCATGAGACCATCTTTATAAAGTGCAGATGCTGTTCAGGGGATGTCAGTATCACCATTGGATACTTAACACCTTTGGAAGCAAGGCTTTGGGAACATACACTTTTTGAGGATGAGAGGGTCGTGCATGAGAAAAGACTAGTGAATTAATATTGTAAGCACTACACACACAGTAGATGAATGGATGGGAATTGCTATGTGCCAAAGTGGACAATGACAGGCATTTTTGAGTCACAGCACATTTAAGTCAAGAATTAAGCCTCCAGGTAACTACATTTAAAATTTTTTTTTTTTAGCACGATAGTTGTCAGGTGTGGGTCTAAGGTTTATTCTCCTACATGCTCATTTTAGTCAGAAAGATGAAGTCAGCAACTTAAGATAATTAAGAGTTTGATAATTAAGATATACAAATTTGTTATTTTCAGTGATTTCCCTTTGAATACAACTAAATTGCTTACCTAGGTTTTATTATCCACAAAGGAACTTAGAATTTCCCCCACTAAACACAAGGATACACTTGCTTTTTTAGGTGTAGACCACTCTGTTCTCTTTTGAAAGACCCAGAGTTCCTAGGGATTGGAAACCAAGTAAATTGGGGAAATGTCATTAAACTATCATGATATATTGCTCATGCTTAGTATCCAGACTAGCAGAAATAAAATTGAAGTAATTTGCAAAATAACCAAATGCTTTAGCATTTTAATGTGTGTTGGAAGTTCTAAACACACTAATTTTCTGTATTACTAGTATTGAAAATCCCCAGGCTAAACCTCCATCTAACATTTACCTCGTCTTCGGAAACGTCCCCATTAAGCCCTATAATAACTCAGGCTGATTCTTGGAATATTTCAAGTAATTATAAAATCAATTTTTCTAAACTTAGCTATTTAAATTCATCCAGGGACTTACTGCTAAAATACCAGCATGATCACAAATTCTGAGAGCAAGAGCTTTTCTTTCCATTAATGCATCTCTATACTTAAAAAAAAAAAAACCCTCACATTTAGAATCTGGAGTTGATGTTCAAATGCTATGAATATGTTAGTCCTATGGTGCATTATGGGCACTTGTGTGAAATTTCCTTATAGTTAAAATTTATTGAGCACTTATATGTGAGTATGTTATTTAACTTCTGTGAATATCAAATGAATGTTATTTAAAGAATGCATATTCCTGCTGAAACACTCATTGTAAAAGTCTCCTGCAGTCACAAAAGCCCTCTTTTCCATGACTGAATATGAGTTACTTGATACTTAGAAAACTACAAGCTGAAATGCTTGTGAATAATATCATATTAGTAACACAATAAATTATTGCTTTAAAAATATCTGGATAAGTGATCTTATGATGCCTCCAGTTGACTGCAATATCCACCTAGTAAGATGTTAGGAAGGAACCAATAGACAAGGATGTTGCCTTCACATAAGCTAGTTAATTTTATTTGATGCACCTCATAACTTATTTACTATACTTTGAGGATTTTGTATCTAATTATATACTTTTCATTTTAAAATTGTAATTTAATTTACTTTAAAGATTTTTACAAAACACCAAAAATATATAGAATGTATAGATTTACTTAAAACAAATAATGTGATTACATATCAATATATTACCTCTCTTCTCATGATGTATATTAAAATATGTAAACTACACTGAACAAAATAATAAACAATTAACTATATTTAAAATTCTGTTATGCTTCTGTCATTTAAAGTAAACTATATATATTTTTCCCCTAGTTTCACCATTTACTCTATATATGGAATACATTCTGGGCCACACCTGGATTCTTTCATAAGGTTTCTGTCCTATTTAAAGGACCGGGATGGGGTCCAGGTAAACCAAGACTTGGCCTGAGTGAAGAAATTCCAGAGGTAAGTAATGTTCACAACAGAAGAAAATATGATTTCTATTCAATTGTTCATGATCTATGCTATGATTATTTATCAAATGAAGGTCACAAATACAAGTACAGAAACAATAGGAAGAGTTGATTGTCATTTGCAAGGTGGCATTTTAGGTAAAAAAAATCATGTGATATCTTAAAGAACAATTTTATCTGAATAATATTTTATTGTTTTTAAATATCTTACTCACATATATTTTACATCCTTAATTAGTTGTAGTTACTCAGCTTGATAGAGGTAAAAAAAAAAATACCAGAAAGGAGGGTTGTACTTTTCTGTCTTCAACAGAATAGTCAAAGTCAGTATTTTTAAATTAAATCAGTGCCTACATCTGCTTTATCTAAATAAAACCACAGCATGATACTTCTAGAAATATAAGTAGTTTAAGAAAGTTGTTTTAATAAAAAAACTACTTGATGTTGAATCATAGTTATCTATGCTGCCTAGAATCACCTGCTTTCACTTTCTTGGCATGTTGCTGGACATATTTTCAGATGTGAAAGTTTCTAGTCTATTCCTCTTGGCTATTGCAATCCTGAATATATATGAAGAACCTGTGACATTTGCATTTAAGGAAGACTAAATCATAGCTAGAAGGCAAAATATTCTGCGTCAAAAAAACAAGTCTCCTAATCTTCAGAGAATTGTCTAGTCAAGGAAATGAATGTCTGAGACCTTCTGGAGCAAAGGTGGAAAACAGCATTTTCTGGGACTCATTCTTTCCCAAAGTGTGAATTTTTGCAAGAGAGATGAGCCACAACACAAAGTAAAGGAAAGCGTCTTTCTGGTCTACCTAGGTTACAGGACAGGAAGTCCCCTTGTCATCAGCAGCATCCCAGCAATTAAAGATGTACACCGTCCTGCAGTTTGCAGTGATGCTGTCATTTTATGAAGAGACCTTTGCAAACACAGAGGTAGGTACTTTTAATATAGTATGTGAAAATAATTCATCAAGTTTTTAATTAAAATATGTTCTTCCTTAGTGACTATGCTCTATTTTTCTTCATAATTGCTTTCATTTTGGGGGAACAGCATATATTTTAAAAAGGAAAATTAATTTATGCAAGACTATTAAATGTAAACAAATTAATTGTATTGCAGTGCTGCTAAATTGTAATATAAATCAAATGTTTTGACACCAATTTAAATGGCAAATTTGTGACTTATCCTATATTTTTGTAATTGAGATAAAAGACTTCAATAATCAGAATCGAACATATTTAAGAGAGCATATTTTCTATCAGTTTCAAAATACCTATTATGTTTAGACAATTGCTTGATAAACCGAGTTTAGAGAATTTCCACTGCAAGGTTTACAGCTTTTATATTTTTCTTTCAAAGGTATACATAATGCCCAACTTCTGGTAGCTTGAGCATAAGAGCACTAAGTGGCATAGATAGTTTAGGAATAAGCATACTTTAGGTAATGAACATTATCTATACTGACTGTGTTTGTATAGATAGTTTAGGAATGGGCGTACTTTATGTAATGGACATTAATCTATATTGACCGTCTTCTGGAGACAACAAAAGTAATAAAAGCATATAAAAATGGACTTCAAACTGCATAAATGATACAATACGTATTTTAACCAACTTCCTTTTTTTCAATTGATTCGTTTGTAATATTTCTTCATAAAAGTGTAAAAGTCCAAAAAAGGTACATAAAAGTAATAAAGTAACCAATGAAAGAGTAAATAAAATACAACATATAATCACAAGACAAAAATATCACAGAATTTGTTTTTTTACAAAGAAAATAAGAATCTCAGGAAATGATCTCAGCGTCGGCAATGTTGAGGTTGTTACAGTTACTCTGGACAAACAATGGCTGTGCCTTAAAGCAAGGATTCTACTGCTTGCAATGTGGTAGGTTTGCATATATCTGGTTTAAGATGTACAGACCATCTAAAATTTGTGAATTAATTGCACAAAAATACCTCCTGGAATGCAAAAAAGAAATAACAAAATATGCAGACAGTCTAAGATGCTGAGCATGTGGAGGAGATGTGAGGGAGGGAACCGAGAAGTGGGTGGAGCTAGCTCGGGGATGTGGCAACCGCAGTTGTGTTGAGACAAGGCTGGAGATTGGCCCCAGTTAGATAGCAGAGCTGGGTAAAGAAACTGACTCCAATAAAATGTAAAACATTTTTTTAAGAAGATAATGGCAAACATTAGTAAAGAAAAATTATTCAAAGGAAGATTTTGTGACTATGTAACTCCATCTTGAATGGTCTTGAATATGGTGAGCAGAATTCACTAACCAGCACAGCTCCAATGAGCACTTCTCCTTTGTATATATTTCCTTGTAAAAAGAAAATTTAGATTTCAAATGAGAAGGAATTGTTCATGCTGAAAATATATACTAGAATGTAATATTTACTTCTCAGATGTGAATCACTTACCCTTGCTTGATGTTCCATCTAATTTCAAAAGTCAAAGTTTTACAGGAGACAAAGAAAATAACAGTTTAAGCAAAAGCTCATGATAAAATTATCTGTCTCTTTCTGAAGTGTCTGATAAGGTGGTGTCAGTAGACAAAGCAATTATTCCTCTGTATCCACACCTTCGTGCAGAGAGTAGCAATGGAAGGCAGGAAAGTGCACGGTGTTTCCATGTCGATGTGAGATCCTAACGTCCTTCCCATACCCTGCCCAGGATCCGCTGAACTCTGTGTTTCTTTGACAGGCACTGTCCCAAGTCACTCTGCTTCTAAGGGTCTCCTTCATTCTCCTGACCTTGACATCCATTGGATTCCTTTTGGATCAAAGGCAAGACATGAATTTCTTTTGTTATTTTTTCTTTTATTCAAAAGAGGAATTTTCCATAATAATAAAAATATCCATGTAATATAGAACATCATAGTTTAGTTTTATGAAACCATAATGCTGAATGCCGTTGTCTTCAATAAGTTAGCTGCATCAGCTTTCCCTAAGCCGTCAGAAGACTCTGGGCTACTGAGGAGAGTCTCACAGGCCTTACATTCTTCATTTCTGGTTGTTGAACACTTTATTGTTTCACTATAGCTCATCACTGCTTTAACTCAACAATAAGTTGACAAAACAGGTTTTTCTTAAAAGACACACCTTGTTGCTTAGTTAAGGCTGTGTTCAAAGCACTTCAGGGACACACCACTCAGTTATGTCAAAATACATTGCCTGTCCTGCAAACCTAAAGTAAATGTTATTGCTATGCTAATTATGACATAAGCACGAGGCCACTGTATGCACAACTAATGGATATTAATGCCCTGCTATTTCAGACCCACGGCAGCTATTCTGGAAACTCTTCGATGCCTGATGTTCCTAACCCTGTTCAGATTTGGTCACCTAAAGCCTCTTTTTCCATCCTTGTCATTTGTATTCGAGGTAAGACATTTGGTATAGGTAGCTGAACTGTTTAATCCACTCATTCAGTGATGTTTTCTCTCTATTGAATCCGTGGCCAGTATTTGTAGTAAGTTTTTTGTTCTGTGTAATATATCTTGAATTGTGATTCATAAAACTTTCAGTTAGTTACTGTTGATGAGTCATCGAGTTTTATCCCAAAATTTTGGTTGATATCATCAAATCACAGAGATCGGGGAAAATGCATCGTGGAGCATTTTGAAGAAATCCACGGTGCTCTGTAGATCCTCAAGTACTTAGTGGTAGGTATGACTTTACAAGAAGGATAGTGCCATTTAGTTCTTCTAATGAAAGCTTTGAAAATGAAAAGTGTTTGAGATGTTTGCGCATCACCTATAACAGATATAATTATATGAAAATGAAAAGTTTAAGGCAAAGAGACTGTTAAAATTAAGGATGTGTTTTGATATGATCTTTAATGATTAAGATAGTTTTCTCAGAAATTTGGGGGTACCTATTTTTTTATTACTCAGGAAATCCACTTATTACTGAACAGTTTTACTGATCACTTGTGTTTATTAGCTCTTTTTAAAATTTGGAACTTTGTTCCTGAACAATATACCAATATTAAGGAAATATGCAATATGGCTGCTTATTGGAGTCGTCGTACATGCTAAGATTCTCGTTATCAAAGGACAAAGTGTGTTTGTTTGTTTTCTGTTGCTGTGATATTACCCTGACCAAAAACAGATTGTGAAGAGAAGAACTGGCTTCATCTTCTGTCTCCAGATAATTGCACACCACTGTGTGAAGTCAGAAAGGGGCTCAAGGCAGGAGCAAAGCAGAAAACAGAAGCTGTGTGTCAATGCTTTCTCCTGGCTTGATTCCCAGGGTTTACTCAGCTACTACCCCTCTTCTATAGCTCAGGCCCATCTGTCTAGGGATCCCAGGGCCCACATGGAGCTAGGTCCTCCCATTCCAGTTAGGGGACTGCCTCACAGATATGGTGTCCTTTTTTTAATCGTGTCTCCTTTTTCCGAAATTAGCTACCACGTAAGCTAATACTGTAGTGATTCTAATCTTGATACATTTCTTTGAAAGCTGTTTGATATTGTAAGGACATGTCTACTTTTGACTAAGTACCTCACGTATGTTGAATTTATACTGGAGGTACAGTAGGCATGCATGCATGGATTGGTGTATATGTGATGGAACTCATGGTATCAACATGTGTAATGGCACAAAAACTGTGAGTCCCCTAATGCCACTCACAGGTGACTGTTTAACAACTGTGTCAAACTCATAAAATACAACCAGTATCTAGAATATAAAAATCGGGAACCCAGTAGGACTGGTCTCAAAATTACAAATTATCTGCATTAAATATGCAATGCTACAATGGGTGCCACTCTAAAAATACAGGCAGTAGAAGATTTCAAAGAAGTGAGTTAATGTATTTTATTAAGTGTTTTTCATATACTTTAGAAGACAAAGGAGAACATAACAGTTTACTGTGGAAAATCACAGCTACTTATGTGGTTAGAAGGCAAAAAAGGACAATTCTTTATTACATTGATTTTACTTAGTACCTTTATAGTTTTTGAGCTCTGAAATATATTTTATTCTTAATATATATTATATATATAATATTCAATAGTGAGACATAAAATTTTAATATCAAAATTTTGTACCATGATTTGCACAACTTTGAACTTGACCTGAATGGGCAACAAGGAACTAAAGAAAGGACAAACACATAGAAAGGCTGGTGTAAGGTGTACACACACCCTAATGGAGGTAAACTAGCAGCCCAGAAACTTAGCACATTTATTATCCATTGCTGACAAAGGAAATGGGTTTACTGTATGCCAATGAATGAGGAGAGAATAGGCTAGCTAACACTGATAGGAAGGCTTTAGAAGGTCACCGTCATCCCAGATGAGGCAGTTGTGATTGACAGTTCCTGCAAACATTGGTTTTAGCAAAAGGTCAGCTATCTGTAAAATCTAACAATGCTGCGCCAGTCCTCTGCTCCTAACTTAGGGAGGCCTCGTCACCCCATGAGTCGGAGGCCTTGGGGGAATCTCTGACACGGCAGTCTTCATGTCCCCGACATACACACATATTCACTGAGAACTTCATCTGCTTTCTCTGACCTCAGTCATCCACATTACACGTAAGTGACAATGGAGCTTGCATATTTACTTAGTGCGTAAAAGTGTTTTATACATGATATATCCTTGAAGCAGAAATTAGCTTTTCATTGAAATTCATACATACATGGCACAAAAGCCCTAAATCAAATGAGATAGAATGTTCATATTCTACATGAGTGATATATTCAATTTCCAGCAGGAAATGCTAAGATCCTTTTTAAAGACCCCACTGTCGTGTATGTTGTGGGAGCTATTCTTAACTGCTCTGGAAGCAAGCTGTTCTTTATGTCAGCTTCGTTTCTACATATGATTGTGAAAACATTGTATTTGGAGTTTCAGATGGCATGGCAGAAAGCAGAGCGTTGTTTCTGACAAACTACAGTGATGATGTGCTATGTTTAATTTTTCGGTTAAGACGTTGAAATGCCTAGCTAAAATTTAAGCTCGGATACACCATTCATTGCTTGAATTTGGTTCTCACCATGAGAACTGCTTTAGTATGATGTATTGGATAATTACTTGGTGATTTATATATTTGGCATCAGTCTTCTTACCTGTAAAAGGAAGAAGGAATCGTTAAATCTACTAAATTTTGAAGATTACGTGAGAAAATTTTACCTATGATGTTTCTCATAATAATTAACAGCAAATGCTCCGTAAATGTTTATTGTTATTATTGATATGAATATACAGAACCCAGGAAATAATTCATTGGTAACTTACCTCAATATCCATAAGCCAAGCCTGAGTCTAATGTTATGGACAAGAGGAAAAACATTACAGTGGAACAAAAACTCCTAGTTCTGTGTTCTTTGGCTGAGACTCACGCTGACATTAGACTTTATGTTTAAATGGTACCCACCCTTTAAACAGGCTTTAACAGAGGTATATGTTTATAACTCTCACTACACTACTCAAAAGCTCCCATTTCATTGTCACACCAACTCAGGATGTCCTTTTATTATTTTTGCAATGGTTAATCTTGTCAACTGGATAGGATTTAGAATCACTATGGAAACACATATCTGGTTGTAATCAGAGGCTAAACTTTTTTTTTTTTGTCTTTACCTCCTGGTCTCACATAAACATACAGAAGCTTATATTAGTAACAGAATGCTCCGTCTATAGCTCCGGATTATTACTAACTAGCTCTTACAACTTAAATTAACCTACTTCTGTTGATATACATTTTCATTACTATATATTTTGCCAGTTCTCTAGCACAATCTATTCCTCTGGCAACTGGCTCATATCTCCCTGACTCTACTCATTCTTTCTCCCCGTGTCTCTGTTTGACTTGCCTAGCCTTATTCTGCCTGGTTATTGGTCAATTTGGCTTTATCATTAACCAATGAGGGAAACACATATTTACAGGGTACAGAAGGAATATCCTACATAATCTGGGAACATCTAGGAGGGAGTTTTTAAATTGGCCCTACTGGAGTAGAAAGATGTCCTTTGAGTGTGGCCAACATCACTTCTTAAACTGGTTACCTGGAGTCAATCAAATGGAGAAGGTGAGCCAGGTATCAGCATTTCTTTCTCTTTTCTTCCTGACTGTGGGTGCAGCATGTCCAATATCTCATACCCTTACCACCAAGTTTCCCGTGAAAATTTCATGATGTCATTTCTAATGAGAGAAAGAATGTGTGTGGATTTTGATGGGAAGCAAAGTGGAGAGGGTCAGAGAGGAGCTGGGAAAAAAAGCATAATCAAAATATTCTGCATAAAATAAAACTGTTTTCAATAAAATATAAATGTATTCATTTCATACAAGACTTTTTTTCATTGCTATAATAGATATAGAGTACTAAGGCATAGAAATGTCCAAAACACAAATTCAAGTTATTGAATTTTATAAAGTAAAAAGTTTTTAACACATCTTTCCTATTTAAAGTTGTTCATCTCAGATATCTTGACATAGCAACAAAATAACACTTCAAGATCTAGTATTTCCATCCCAATCTCTCTTTTGCATTTTAAAATCTTATTTAAATGGTGGAATAGAAACAAACAAAATGAAGAAAAATGAGTATTTTTCAGGATCCCAGAGATGCCTTTCTGTGTTCTCTCACATGCCTGCTGCGTGCCAAGGGTCAACTTGAGGCGTGCCTTGCTCTCCTCTTTCTTTGTCAGATGATGCATAGATGGGAGTTACTTAGAAGCTGGATAGGAGATGCTCAGTTGGATTTTATTTTACTCTTTACTTTTTTTTGGGGGGGGGACCCTACCGTCCAGCTCTCAAATAAATACATGGAGGCTTTTACTTATAAGTGTCTGGCATATATTTAACTTATTTTAGCCAGCTTTTTTTAAATTATCCTGTTTACCTTTTGCCTCTTCGGGTTTTTTTTTTTCTCTTCTTTTTACTGCTGTATATTTTACTTTCAATATTACTCTGTGACTAGCTAGGCCTTTTTTCTTCTTCTTGATCTTCTTCCTCCCAGATTCCCCCCCCCCTTTTTTTTCTGCCTGCAAGCCCTGTCTGTCCTTTCCCCTCTCTCTCTCTCTCTCGCTATTGGCCATTCAACTCTTTAATAGTCCATCAGGTGTTTTAGACAGGCAAAGTAACACAACTTTACAGAGTTAAACAAATGCAACAAGAAAAAAATGCAACACATCCTTGCAGCGTGAACAAATGTAACACGTCTCGAAGTAATACACTACAATAGAGACGCATCCTTGCAGCGTGAACAAATAAATGTAACACATCTCGAAGGAATATACTGCAATAGAGACGCATCCTTGCAGCGTGAACAAATGTAACACATCTCGAAGTAATATACCACAATAGAGACATATCCTTGCTGGGGACCTTTGAAGTTTCTGTTGAGTTAGAGGGAGTGTCATTTGAGTTCTGAAGGT